CCATACCCCCCGTTTATTATTTTCCAGCTTGCCTCAACCGACGATTATTTGAAACCTATTTATCTAAAATCTAGATATCTGAATGGAACTTCTTTTGTTGTTGTTGTTGTTAATGGCAAATTGCCCTCAGTATTAGTACCGTTACCGAGTAGGCTACCTCAATTTTCTGTGCATTTTAAACACTTTTGTACTTTGGTTTATATTTTTTTTATCAAACTGGTTTGTTCTTAAATGGGAAAAGTTGTCACAGTAACTTACTTCAATCACTAAAATGTAATGGTATCTTGTTCTTGTATTCACTGAAGGAGAAACAAAACAGATATAAGGTTGAATGCCCCCCCCCCTTTTACTTCCCCCTTACGTAAGAAAATGACGCCACTTTCAAGAAGAGTATAGACGAAAAAGACGCCACTTTCAAGAAAGGTTACAACGGAAGATTGTGAGTATGATAAGACATTTGTGGTAGGTTTTTGTGAGCAGACGTTCCAAACACCCGGGACAAGAAAGAAACGGGAAAGCAGTGCGGCCCACATAGAATGTTTACCCATATTCATCAAAAATCATCTCCTCCTCCTCACTTTCACCATTCCTCTCCTCCTCTTTGCTGCGTACAAAACACATGGACAAGATGAGTCAGTCACCAGAAACAATGGAATGAAATCTGTTGCATGCAATGCTAGCAGCGAAAAAAAAAAGAACAATTAAGTTGCAATAAAACAAAAAAATGTCAGCACGATGCAAGTTCATAAAGACTTATATAACACAAGAACAACTAGTTAATTCTTCCTTCTCTGCAACACACCATGGTAACACAGCGTGACACCAGCCAGCCTCCTCTGCTTCCTCTTCCCTCACTCCTAGCACAAAAAACTCTCTCAGTACACGGAAACATGGACCAATACTATAAAAATTCCTAACAAAAAAATCCCCAAACTAAACAATCAAAGGAATTCTTCACTTCACAACGTAATGTTTAAAAACTTTGGTAAACTTGAGATATAACCCTAGGTTCCATTCGTCCAAGACCCATCCCAGAGTTCCAAAACAACTTCATTAGAATCCCCAGTTCAG